TAGCTGGAACACCCTGTATATGTATACAGAGTGGGTCACGTAACTGGAAAATATGATTACTGAGCAAGTACTTATTTTAATGTGCACATTGTTTCAATCAAAAGTTGGTTTCAAGAGGGAAATAAGAGTCAAATAAAAGATGCCTTCCGGAGGGATGTAATTTGACTGATGTGATTAGTTTTTCTGTAGGAAGATGCGCAAAGGACATAGGAAAGTCAGGTTTCTTTCTTTCAATGTGATTTAAATGTCGTTTTTTGTTTGAAACATCTTTCGTAAATAAATCCTTTGAAACACTCCGCGTCAAAAAATATTAAGGCACGATGTTGAAAAAATCAACAATTTGTGAGATATTTTAAATTAAAACGTGCATAAAGATCTGAAATATCTCACGAAGTACTGATTTTATTGACATTTTACCTTTATGCTATTTATCGACTTACTAAAGAAAGCAGCAGACGTTTCGTATAAGAAAAGTGCATTCGTTCAGTTTTATATAAAGGAAAGCTCATATTCGCTAAGCGATCTGTATACGTATTATTGTGAATCGATTCTTTGGAACATTATGCATAATAATAAAATATGACAGTACAATATCAATAAAATATCTCACAGATTGTTCTGCTCCTTAATGCTAATGAGGAATTTTCTCTTTTGATTTTACCTGTTGTGAAACGACTGTTGAGACGATTCTATCTCCGCGAACGCTTGCAGCCGTTGACGAGTCGGAAAAGGCAGCTGGAAAGACTGTCAACTGATCGTCGATCTGTCAACTAACCAACGTCGAACTGATCAACGCCGCCGTCTTTCTGCGACTGCTCTGGCATGACCAACGTTTCGAAAGGATAGCATTCACGGACGATATTCGGACTCGAGATCAATTTGTTAAGGTAATGCGAGTTTTCTCTCAAGTGAAGAAGAGACCAGTACCTTCGTCGAATAGTCCATCGGCGGAACCCCGTAGACTTGGGTCACCGTACGATCTACAAAATTGTACAAAAAGAAATCAATCTGGCCGAAATCTCCGAAGATTGGCTATTAGCGGAACAACGTCGTGATCCCCAAATTACAGAAATCGTCAATAAGTTGCGGAACGATGAGCTTGCGGACGATATCGCGAACACTTAAGAACTAGAATCCGGCACTCTGTACCGTAAGATACGAAGGAGAGGCAGAACCCCTCTGCTTGCCCGTTGTCCCAAGAAGTTTTAGGTGGTCCGTGATTAACCATGTACACCGGTCAATTATGCACCTTTTTTTTTTTTTTTAGCGAGGAGGGAAAAATGCTTTTACGCATACCCAAAAACCCGCGTCTTCGGGTTATGATCGCCATACCCACTAAAGACCCCTCCCCATTCTCCCTCTGCTACGGTACTCGAGCCACCAACCCGGTACTGTCATTCGACATTACTTCAGGTTGGCCTCTATACCACATACCCAACCCGTTACCTTCTCTCCTCGACTCTGGTTCTTCTTCTCCTCCTTCCTTCTCTTATTCTCCTGACCTCCATCTCCTTTTCTTTAGAAAGCCGGCATTTCATCGCCTTTGTACAAAAATCATGAAACCTGTTCCACAACCGCTCCTCTGTGGCCATCTTCTCAACGACCCGGTTCTCCAATTTAAAATCTTCACCGATCTCGATCTCCAACGACCAAAAGAGCATATGCTCGGCATCATCCATCACCGCACCACAATCCCAACAGCTGGTGTGCGACTCTTTGCCGATCCTGTGACGGTAACAGTTAAAGATACAGTGTCCCGTAAGGATCTGCATCGTATGGTAGTTGATCCTCCTCCTTCTTTTGTAGAAGATCAGCGGATCTTCTACCAGTCTCCTAGTCCAATTGCAGGGATTGTGGAACGCCACTCCAATCTCCACCTGTCCTCTGCCTCTGTCTCCAAAACCTTCATTTCTTCCTGCCCAACATGTGCCATTTCTTCAGGGCTCTCATTGATCCGCCTCTTCACTCCGGTGCTCTTTTCCTCCGCTCCTTTATGACCCCTTCCAGTTCCTTCAAATAGTCGTTGAATTGGTCCTTACCCTTACTGGGGGAACAATACCCACTGACGCAAAACACATCACCAACCCTGACCTCTACAATCCCTACATTTCTTATCAGAGTCTCGCTCGTCGCATGTTTTCCATTAAACAGGGTGACCCATACCGATGCATCCCCACCCTCGTCATTAAACCAATAAGGCAACTGCCTATAGGGCTCGGAGATGAGCACTATGTCCACCCTGCTTTCACATACACACTGCATCATCAGGTCTTGCGCAAGCCTGCATCTGTTTAGGCTTATTTGTAAGACCCTAATTGGGCCTCTGTCTATTCCTAACACCTAAGCGCACCATAGGGCACACCAACGAACCCGTTACATGCCTTGCATTTATACCACCATGTTTCAGACACATAGCGCATCTCGGCTCTCTATCACAATCTTTCATACTATGCTCAGCGCTGCCGCACCTCCTACACAACTCTCTGCCAGGACATGCAACAGTACACCTTGCCGCCACATGCCCCAACATGTGGCACCTGTAACAACGCCGAACATTAGCCAACTGCCTGACGGAGGCTATCGTTAGCCCAGTTCTCAGTCTTCTTTCTCTCTCGTTACTAGGCACTCCACTCACCACCACCATTGCGTGCCCCATGGTGCCGCCAGTCAATTATGCACCTGGGATGGGATAAAACGCCCGAGAAACTGTACGAGAGCTACTGGTCGAGTTTTAAAGGCCAAATACAAGCTGAACTGCATCCCATACCCAAGACTAGCATACCTTGGCATACAGTGCACATGGACATAACGGACAAGTTAGGCGGGAAGAGTGACTCGAAGTAGTACGTCATTGTTTTGGTCGACGCTTTCACCAAATTGAATGATCGAAAAGATGAAACCAAACCAATTGAAAAGATGTATGAACGTAAAATGCTTTGTTAAGCAATGATAAGAATAAATCGAAATGACAACGTATTAGTTGGCAAAGAATTCGTGACGCATTCAGTGAAATGAAAGGAAATCAATTTTTGATAGATGTCAAGCGTGTGTTGTTAAGAACAAACGATACTTTTGAATGGACATTTTTTTCTTGCTTTCACTCGTAGAATCGACTGGCGGACGAAAGTAGGGACACCCGGTCGAAGAGCGAGGGAGCGGGGGAGGGATGAATTAGAATTGAGGCCCTCTTTTCTGTCTAATTATCATTTTTACTCTTTGCATACTATGTCGTCTATGGTACCAATACGTATACATTGACTGTCATAAATATTCGATCGAATATTTAAGAAAGAAGTGAATTATAAAAATATTTCCAAAAGGAGAAAAGAAGAAACTACGTTCTCTAAAACGAAGGTAATAGTTTGTACTATTTGACTAACAAACTTTCTAACGTTTTCTTATAGCAACAAATCTAACAGAAATATTCAGCAATCAACAAAAGTTTTGTTATTAATTTCATTTCAAATTCTATAAAGAATGTTAAGAGAGGAAGAGCGAAACAAAGATAATGTATACAAATATTTCTCCTCAAATATATATTATACCTATTACCATAATTTATTTATCTCCGTAATTTTAGCAAATTTTGTATTCAATATAATTATAAACATAATTCGATATGCAATTACCTTATGGTCAGTACTAAAACGATATTTAAAGTACCAAAGAATATTTGAATAAATTTAAAAAGTGGAGATATACAGGATGCTCCAATATTTTCTGCTATTATACTTTATCAACGTATTCTCTAGGTAAAATTAAGAAAAGAATGTCGTATAAACGTAAGCGTTTAAATGCTTTATTAAAAAGCTATAAGAAATATACGAACTGATAATGGGCTGGTATTTCGTCGACACAGCATAAGAAGACATTGCAGATATCTATTTCATATGTTTCCACAAATTTTGATATTTACTTGCCAAGATGGTTGATTTGGTCAACCAACGTATGGATGGTTAAAAACGAGATCACCAGCTATCACGCCAACAGATGTTTACTTGTGCGCGACTGTGAAGAAAAAGTTTAATAAGCATAAATTAAGTTTTTCGCAGACGTAGTTCCGCATTTACTATAATGGCAAACATTTATTTGATACAACCGACATTTTTATATCTTACATTTTCTGAAATATTAAGATGATCCTTGATCACGCCGTGATGTGGTAGATAATACCCGTTGCTTGTGGGGTGATCAGTGGTGATCTTAGTCATGTGGTCCATGTCTAAGTATTCTTGAATCACCGTACTATATGCGGTTTCAATTTGTTTGTCGCGTTGAAATCGGTGGTGAAGAGAAGCGAGTCTGTTCATCGCAATGGATTTCGACGATCCAAGTAAAGGAAGCTTCTCGCTGAATGATAGAGCGACGATGTATTGCCCTTCTCTGGTGTGTTGGGCGTGATTTCGGAAGTGCTTCTCACATTGTTGTTTCGCTTCCGAAAGGTACGTGGTGAGCGGTCCCTCGTCGATTTTCCAAAAACGGGCGAGATCCGCTTGTAGATCCGTTGTGGTGGCGCTAAATGCGCGTGATGTTGATTGAGAGACTGGGCTTCCCCCGATGATCTGGCTAGTTGGAGATTCCTAGGTATTTGTATAGTTAAACGATTTACGGGTTCATCTGGGACCAATGTCGTTATTGTCGATATGATCAAAAACGTCAATGTACGTTCGTACGTGCCTTCCATGGAGGTAATCGTGGCCGTGATATAGCGTTTCGAGGTCGTCGTTAAGGTGTCGAGGGATTCTCTTGCTGTATTCCAAGTGATTTAGCGAACTTTTCGGTTATGAAGTTCATGTTAAAGCCGGTGTCTAGCAAAGCTCTACATCTGGTTAGTTGCTTCTTGTTATTTAAAATGCGTTGTGACTAACAGATCGTGATGCAGTGGGTCAGATGGAGACATAACTGGTGATCCGGTCCCTTTTGAAGCTGTCGATTTTCGCCGTCATTGTTTCCTTTGTCGTAGAGGACTAAATATGGGACTGGGTGTGAATTTCCGACCGTAGCCAAGTATGGTGCACTATGAAGAATTGGGTCCGTTGCTGCAGGACCAACCCACCACTAGTAGAGTACTTGATGGGAGATTTGCCAGAGGCGCGTATTATCGAGTCGTGTCCCTTCACCAACGTCGGGATCGACTATTCTGGCCCATTTTACATCAAGGAGAGAAGGGATCGCAATCGTCGAAAGGTCAAGATCTACGTAACCATATTCGTATGTCTGACAACCAAAGCGGCGTATATCGAGCTAGTCTCCGATCTCACAACCGACGCCTTCATTGCCACTCTACGCCGATTCATCTCTCAGCGAGGATATTGCGCGACAATTCACTCAGAGAATGGCACCAACTTTGTCGGAGCCAACAATGAACTCAAGAAACTTCGGATTCTCTTGCAATCCGATGACCACAAAGAATGGGTGCAGGTTTTTCTAGCCAACAACACTCAGTTTCAGAAGAAGAGTGCAGCGGGCTGTGGCAGCTAGTAGGGACAACGCTGGCCAGTTGGTAACTGAATTCAAGGAAGCAAGGAGAAGGCTAAGAAGAGCGATCGAACGCAACAAGGAGGAAAAGTGGTAGGAGTTTTGTGCAACTATGGATCAATATCCTTGGAGTAGATCATATCGAGCTGTAAGAGTTAAAATGGCTCGAAATACACCGCCGGATGGTCTCCGTAAGGACAGAATGGCGAGAATTCTGGAGGATACTTTCATCGCCAGACGAGTGGAGCAAGGAGACGAAGTACATTGGTCTCAGATCCCGCAGACGCATGAGGAAAAGGAACAAGATCTGCGCACAACGGATTGAGTCACTACCTCTCGAAGAGGAAAATTGTGGCGCACTGCCGTGATAGTCGGTAATAGGTGCACTGTTGCGGAACCTAGTGTATGATGGGCTCTTAAAGATGTTGAACCCGGTTAGGAATTAGATGCGATTGCGTTTGCAGATGATTTGGCACTGGTGATCATTATGCGTAAGTCGCAGGACATCGGCGACAGGGTCCGTGAAGCTATTAAAATGATCACGGACTGGTGTAACGATACGAACCTTCATCATACTTATCGGGAAGCGAATCCCGGAGATTTTGAAGATTGACGTGGGTGGGGAGATCATCACCAGAAACACGATAAGATATTTGGGGGTGCTTTTGAACAATGCCAGGAGGTATTCCTCCCACCTGGAGCAAGTGTCTGACAAGGCATAGACGTTTGTGGGAGCCATTAGCAGCTTGTTGTCGAATGTTAACGAACGCATCGACACCGTGAGGAAACTATATTACGGTGTCTGGGAATCGGTGTTCTTGTACGCCGCGCCGATATGGGTATCCCCCCTCAGCATAGAGAAGAACAAGAAGATCCTGATAAGTGCGCAACCGGCAGCATGTCCGTACATATCAAGGCCAGGCTCCGGTGGGAGGAGTACGAGGCTAAGAAGTGCTTTAGCGAAAATCTACTTGGGGAGGTTCATGATTTGATGGAGGAATTGAAGAACCTGAAGCAAGAGGCCGAGGACAAGTGGATTTTTGAATGGACGTTCCACAATCCATGCAATTGGACTAGAAGACTGATCAGGGTCCCTTGTACTTCATTAGGAGAAAAAAGAAGATAAATCATTATGTGATGCAAATCCTTACCGAGCACGGTATCTGCAACCATTACCGGAACAGGATCGGTAAGGAGACGCATACCAGTTGCTGGGATTGTGGGAATGACCTGGATGATGCCGAGCACGTGTTATTTAAGTGTTCCAGATGGGTGGTGGGAGAGGACTGCGCTTGAATCCGAGATGGGGATTGAAATCAAGCTGGATAACGATATTGTCGTAAGGATGGCAGCTGAGGATCAATTATGGCAGAGTTTCATCACATTCTGTACTCTAGTCACGATTAAGTCACGTCAGCTCAAGGAGAGGAACATGAAGGTGCGGAGTGAAAAAGTGAAAAGAAGAAGAAGAGCTACGTGAAGTAGGTACAGAGGTTTAGGGTAGGTTTATGTAGGGACTAACCCAATGTATTATCGAATGATTGTGCTGGGTTGGAACCTCGAGTACCGCTTTAGATCCGGCAAGGAGAAAGGGATTTTAGTGGGTATGGCGATGTTATCTGGCCGAGACCCACATAACCCATGCACGCGCTGCAATGGGTATGCGTAACGCATATTCCCCTCCTCGCAGAAGAAAAAGGTTTTTCTAGTCGACCGGCAGATAGAATGTGGCGCTTTATATATAGTCCCCTCATTCACTATACTTTGATGGCTTATGGGAAGCCGTGGTGAAATCGTTCAAACGCCACCTCACACGCGTTGTCGGCAAAGAACTACTAACCTTCGAATACCTTAATATCCTCATCGTTGAGATCGAAGGTATTCTAAACTCTTGTCAACTGACTCCAATATCTTCAAATCCCAATAATCTCCTTGTACTCACTCCCGGCCTCTTCCTAATTGGCGATACACTAACGAGTTTCCGGAAACGAGATTTCAGAGCGACTGCACCAAGCCGGTTATCATACTGGCAGCTCATCAATCGATTGAAACAGCATTTCTGGAGCCGTTGGTACCGGGAATACTTAACCGAGTTGACCAGCTGTAACGAGTGGAGCAAAGGCAGTCATGGAATTTCGGAAGGCGCTATCGTAATCCTCTGAGAAGATAACATTCCATCAATACAGTAGTCCTTGTGCCGCGTCATTAAGATGAAGGAGCCGATGGAATCATCCGGACAGCTAATGTGCAGACGGCAACGAGTATCTTGGGTCGTGACGTCAAACGGTTGGTCCCTCTACTTTGTCAAGCCGATCCAGACGAGTCCGGACAACACTCTCAACGGCGAGAAAATGTTACGACCGGTGTCTCCGTGCGTAACCCGGAATCCATCCCTGGGTCAAAGTGACACTAGCTGTGCAAATATAATTAGTCGGACCGCAATAATCCTAAGAAACTGTGTCGTTATAAAATATATTCAAGACGAGACGTTCCTTATGGTTATTACTCCATCAGGTAAAAAGTGGGGAAACGTGCGTTTTTCACCCGCACATTGTAACCTGTTAACTCAGTGTTGTAATCAATTCAACCACCTCTATTATCCTAAACGAAATAGGGGATCGATCGTTTCGTGGCGTCGATTGTATAATCGTAATGGGAATCTACGACTCACGTTGACGCGCTACCTCGCGTTCGCGTTTCTTCGCGAACGATCGAACACCAGAGTTTTTTCAAAGATAGTGTACCCTTTTCTGCTAGCCGATGGAAAGACGAATTCAACGCTTTATAAAAAAGGCGAACTTGAGTTGGCCGCGAAGCTCTAAATCGAAGCAAATGTCGAGTACACATAACTGTTACTTTAGGTCTTGTACAAATACGTATATTTAGTTCTTATATAGGTTTACATGCTAAATACTTGTGCTGGTAAAATATAAATATTTTCAAGTTTTCCTATGTTATATCTGATATTGAATATGTTATTATTTACGCACGTTTAATTTACTTACAGAAAAGCTGCCGGCGGTCTACGCTTCCCCTTTTAATGAAAGTGTACAGGTTAGTAAATAAATCGAATATCGAACGAAGCAATGAAACATTTCCCATTTTAGTTGTAGTTTTTATTGTAGTAGGTGCGCTTCGTAGGTATTAGTGGCTTGAAAATTTCCACTTGAATTTCAATACTTTATGAAATGCAATCAGCTCAAATGCTTATGTATAATTTATTAAATATTATTTAAAGAAATTGATTTCTATATTTTCCATGACGCGGTCGTAAGGCTGTACGTAAAATACCATACACATGATGTGGTTTGTAAAGTAGCCACATAACGCGCTGATTAAAATTCATTATAAATATTAGGTTGTTCGGAAAGTATCTTTCGCAAACGTGTTTTGCAGAACAGTGCACCTTCATACAAACGTGAAACCAAGTTTGTGAAATGTCGCGGTGTTGATCTCAACAGAACGAAATGGACCGTACGTAATTCGACAAAATGATATAAAACAAGAAACGTTGTGCGCCTATTATTTCCTCATAAAACGGAAGAAACTTTTCGGACAACCTAATATTTTTAAATAGTATATATCCTAATATCTCTGTTAGATAACCTATTTTACTTGAAATAACTAAGTATATATTACTATATACTAATAATTGTGATAAATTAAGTTTCAAATTAAACAGATTCAGCGATGCATTTACAGAAATAAATGACTATGAAATGTGGAAAAAGGTAAACGTGTGACAGCAGCATTAGGAACTATGATTGCTCCAAAGAGGGAATGAAAAACGTGTCAGAAATAGACGATTAGAGAACTGTGTTATTAAAATATAGTATCTGTAGGATCATAAGTGAAGACCGATAAACTCTGGTGAAATCAGTTGTTCCAGTTTCGATATGTATCGCTTATCGACAATCAATGCATCGGTATAAACGGACATAACACTTACAATTTAATTCACTCGACTGTGGTATAATTCACTCGGCGAATATCACCTCGTATGTCAGCAACATCAAAGAGAATTATTTGAATCGATTGAATGTTATCCGACATGTAACCGCATCGACTGAACGAGTTGATTAATCGTGGAATATGGCAAACCCACTCAACGAACAGGCTATTTACGTGATATTCCGTAATTGAATTGACTAATACGGAAAACCAAGACATAATAGCATGATACACCATTTTGTAACACAACCAACACAGGTGTACTGGAGAGTGAAGCATAAGTACATGTACAGTTACGTTTCTCAATTTCTCGATTATTACCTACTCCGAATCAAACTTGTTTATTCCTATGAAATCACAATAGTTTATATTTTAGCATTTGAAATCGTTATTGTTACCTTTCTGTCGACTTTTTACTATGTCCCGTGCTTTAACTAATCTCTTCTTAACACTGTATTTAAATATAGGTACCATCGTATGTTAAACTATAACGAAAGTAATTCTTTCCAAACTAATTAAGAAGCGGCTTTTTCTTTAAATTTCTCGTAACTTTGTAAATAATTCTTGTCACGTTCGAGTTAAGCTATCTTAATATGAAAATAAGTAGACGGGGTGTCCCACTAACACTGTTACAGGGCGATATCTCCGATGCCTTTAATAATAACAATGCTAAAAGAACAAATTGTTCGCTTTGAAGAAAGCAAATATTACGGCAAACAAACAATTTTCACCACGTCGTATCTTTCGAGATCTCAGAGACATCGATGTTGTTTTAAATGGGATTATTAACCTACTAATATTGGAAAACCATTAGTTTAGTAGATATTTCAACTTTTATTTTGTAGAACCTGTCGTATGACATACGAGGGAAGACGTAGGACACCTTTTTGTGTTTATTTCCCTTTTCTTTCATACGATGAGTTTTACAATATAGAAGTTAGTTAGGTTACGCAAGTAGGTTAATAATTTTTTATACAGAATCTCGATCTACGTCGACTAGTGTATTAAAAGATATATAATTCCATGAGCTTTAGGCGCCCACCTACAGAAAACCTAATAACATCAGAAAATGCGAATTTCGAAATATCTTTGTCTTACAATGAATAACTATTATATGTAATTATTATTGCTGATATCAAAGAAACACTACCCGTTAGACCTAAACGCTAGATTTAATTAGATATTCATATTAAGTAATATTTACTTATTGACAACACTTACTTATAAATTATACTAAGTATTAACTTATTATAAATATTTAGCCATGTCACTGCGCCACGCCAGAAAAAATTACTGAAAGTTCTCAATGCGAGAATTGATTATAATATTACCAAA